CTTTCCAACTAGTGATAGAACTAAAAAGGTGGTGTTTTTCCCTGTGCATTTCATATTCCATCTAATATCATACATCTTTAAAAAATAAACAACCTCCCCGAATCCTATGTGACTTTCCAAATGTTACCTCTCCATGACAACAAACCTTTTCAAAACAGTCACAGGCGTCGTCTCTACTTGCTGTCTCTCACGCTCCCTCCTGAGCGGCGATTCCTTCGGTCTGACTCGCTTCTCCTGAAACCAGCGATCTCCATGGAGTCGAGCACTGTCATCACTCTGTGTCTGTTCCTTACTAAAATTTGTAGTAATCGACAATTTTTTTTGACTTCTTGAAACACTTTATTCTTTTCATTTCTGCACCACGACACCTATCTGTCTTTCCCTGCATTTTAAACGGTCTCTGTACACATCTGAAGTCTTGATTTTCTTCTGAACCTCCAAATCCTAGGCTCTGTTCTGTTTACTCCTTTTATGTCTGTCTATACTTCCTCCCTATTATATTTAGTACCACAGTTTCTAATTTCATCTGCATGTCAGTATATCCTGTCTGTCTGTCTACTTACCTGTTTCTGGCACTGACCTCATGTTCTGAATCATGCATATTCCTTCTGCTTTACTCTTCACATGGCTGTTTAGAAGCACCTCACATGTCCCAAAGAGAACGCAGGTACTTGGTGCTTAATGAGTATTTATAGAATGAATAAGTCAGCAGGGTGTTTCTAAATATAACTCACATCTCCAAAGATGAAAAAACAATATAAATATGACACTTTGGAATGTTCTGTGAGAGAAAGTTCTTCCAAAGTCTGGGTAAAATATTGCCCCCAAATGTTATGGATTTTACTAAATTTTATGTGTTTGTGAGTATACGATACACTAGTTTTCTAATTATTTTGTTGTTGTTTTTTTTTGTATAATTCTTTTGTTGTTTTGGGACAAAGGTTTAAGTCAAAGGTTTCATGTCATAATTTGATATCAGAGTTTATGTCTTTATCAGGTTAATGATTCTTCAAATGGATGTAAATAATTATTAAATAATGGTGGTATTGTTAATAAGCATAATAGCATTTTCTAAAATTTAATGGTTTAACGCATTATATCAATATTAAAAGTGATATATGCATGTAACAGATTTATGCTGTAGTCACAGCATATGCAGTGGAATAGTTGCAGTAATTATATACCTTTGTACTTGTATAGACTATATCTGATTTTTAACAAAGTTTCCAGATGAACTTGTAAGCCCAAATGAGGATGTATACGTGAAAATATCTGTGTAGCTAACCTGTTGTTCTGTTTGTAAGATAAATAAGATTAGATTTCGCGTTTCCCAAACTGTGATATAATGGAGATCCAGAAACTCAGGTTTCTAGTGCAGCTTCTGCTACTAACTACTGTGAAGCTGGGTCACTATGCTGGCTGGAGCGTATGCTCCCTTCGGGCAGGGTTTTGGTCTGTTGTGTCCACTACTGTGTCACCAGCATCTAGGACAGGCTGGGCCGAGGTAAGTGCTGAACAAATATCTGTGGCATGAATTATGCTTCGCCAAATTTACAGTTTCCACACCTACGAAACAGTGTTCCTTCCAGCCCTTCAGTCTAAATGAGGTGAGAGCCCTCATGAATTTAAGTGAGTCAGAGTCATAGCTGAAACTATGTATTCAGCTTGTACCTGGGCCTTTATAAGATTGTTCAGTCCATCAGAGCTCTTTGTATTGAATATTAACATGAATAAGACAGGAGCTAAATTGGTCCATGTTGGCCATCTTCAGAAGAACTAAAACAAAAAACTCTAAATTTAAAATATGTAATTCAAATTCACAAAATTAAGTATGAAAGGAAGTTTGATAACCCATCTCTCAAGGGATGTTTTTTTCAAACTGTGTAACATTTATATTTTGGAAGCTATGAAGGTTTAAAACTGCTCTAAGAATTTTGGGATACTCTGTAGAGATGCCTTTCTTCAAGAAAATTTGATATCCCAATTTAAAAAAACAAACTAATAGACTCTTCACTTTTAATTTTTTCTTCTTTTCATTAATTGAACAAATATCTAATGAATGACAGCCATGTGAAACCTGTGTTGGGAAATGCACAGAAATCAGGTCTTGACAACTTACCTCCACTCCCCTGGACTGCCAGGTGTTCACAGAGCCCTGGGTCCGTGGCAATAGAGCCTCTTGGCCAGAGTCAACATCAACATTGAAAAGACTGCAGAAGAAGCCTGGAGAACTGTGTGCTGCTAAAACAACAGCCCCTCCTGACCACCATTCCAGCCTCCCCACCGTAATCACCAGGGCGGATTCCTCTGCAGGGGTTACTTCCCTGTTCCCTGGGGCTTGTGGGCCCCCTCCATATCAATGTTTAATGAGACCCGGACCCCTACCCTGTCACTCTCTGTCCCCCTTATCCTGCCTAACTTTTTTTTTTTACACAGCATGTATTACCAGTGATATTATTTATTTGTTCATTGCCTTTCTTGTATACACACAGTGAAATGTAAGCTCCAGGATGTTAGGAAATTTGTCATTTATCAGTATATCTCCATCACCTAGAACAGTGTGTGACACACATTGGGCTTAATAAATATTTGTTAGATAAATGGATGGATGGATGGATGGATGGATGAATACATGAAAAACTGAAGGAATGCATACTCTGACCTGAATCTCCTTATGGCTGATCCTCTTAACTGTTTCTCCTCCAGTTTCTAACATCATCTCATCATTTAGATGTAAAGTTTGCCCACGTGTTTTCTAGCTGTGAACCTCAAAGAATTTTTGGTGTCCCACCCTGACTTTATTGCCTCATCTCCTGCCTTGTAAATATTTGTCACAATTCTTCTTGGCTTACATTGGTAATATACCCGTAGGGATTGCCCCTACCCCTCAAGTGGGATCTAGCAGTGTGTGTGCATGAATGACATGTTGCTCTACCATAGTGACTTCATAAAGGACCAACATCTAAGAAGGAGGTAATATATATATATATATATTAAACAGCACTGAGAATGGTCATAAGTGAAGTCCCCGCCTTTGATATGTGTACACATTCTACAATGACAAGTTAATGGGCAAGACAAAGACTGGAAAGGGGAAATGTAGAAAATTCCTGTGCCTTCCCTGGGTAAATGGGTACATCATATAAATGTTGGGAGGACTGCAAGTTGCTACAATGTTTATAAAGGACAATTTAGAAATAGCTATTAAAATTAAACAGATCCTTACTCTTTCACTAGCATTTCAACTTCTAGAAATGTATTCTATAAAAATTTTCCTAACAATTGAATACATCCCAAATGCTCATCAATAAATATGGGCTAAGTATGATACCACAAAATCACACAATGGAACAGTGCAATCATCAAAAAGAATAAACATGGACTTGTTTGTATTATATTAAATGGAATGAGAAAATTGCACATTAGTGTTTGTGGTGTGCTCCTGTTACCGAGGTTATACCACCGTTCTACGTACTGGGGACGACAGTCAGCCACATTCACATATCTGTCTCCTCGTAGGAATAAGTTCTAATGGGGGAAACGGACCACAAACAGATCACAGTTTAATGGCAGGTGCAGCAGTGCTATGAAGAATAGGAAGCCTGGCAAGGGGGTCAAGATTGATGTGGATTAGAGCAGAGACCTGAATAAAATGAGGGAGCAAGGCCAGAAAATCAGCAGGGAGCCAGGGAGGAAACGGCCTGAAGCACATGCAGGGAGTGAGCTAGAAAAGTCAGGGAAGGCCCGTGAGGCTGGACAGCAGGGGGCGGATGTGTGAGGGCTGGAAGGTGAGCTCTGAGAGGCAGCCCAGGTCTTAGGTGGCAAATCGGCCATGACAACAATTTTGGATTTTCTTTTAATTTGGATGACAAGTCATCACAAGATCTTGAGCAAGGAAGTATCATAATCAGATGTGTTTTTAAGGAATCACCATGGTTCTGTAGAGAGCATTCAGTATTGAGTCCACGCCACATTATCGATTATATATTTTATTAGACAATTTATGAAGGAGTTGCAGTGACCAAAAATCAGAGGAAAATGTGCAGTCTTTTGTATGGTTTATTTAACTGTGTTTTAGGCACCTGCGTCACAGAGGTTTTATGAAGATTGAAAAATGTGTATGCATATTCATATATATGTAGTTTATGTATGTAGTTTCGTATATGGAACATTTTTCATATATTATTAATGGATATCAAATGATACTCTATGAAAAATTGAAATAACACCAGAAATGCTTATAGAATGTATAGATGAAAAAGGCATGGCAGGTGTTAAAAGTATAATAGTTTGTCTAACCTTTTGCTATTTCTCTAGTCAAATAAACGTTTTAGACTTTCATGTCCATGCTGTGAACAGAGTGCTGGTTAACGCATTTCAAAGGGGCTCAAGGAAATTGCTCTGAAGTCGAAGGCCATGAGCGAGCCTTGAAGCCTTGGAATTAAGATAATGCCCATCCTGCCCACATAGGCAGCACACATGTCATCTTGAGTGAGATTATGTATGTTAGTGTGCTGCGGAAATCATTAAATAGAATACCGACGTTTCTGAGCACTGCTGTTACGTGGCAGTACCGAAACCGAGCCATCTTCCATGATTGTTTCCGAGGCCTCTGCTCCTCCAGGGCGTGGCCCACTCCTTGAGTCTGTGCCCACACAGCTGGAGCACTCCAGATCAGGTCATTCAGCATTCTCCTCCCACACCGCGGTTCAGGGCCAAACCCAGCTTTTCACTGAAGTCCCCAACTTCAGCAGCAGGAACACAATGCTCACTGAGATCCAGGCGGGCTCTGGGACTGGAGCAATGGTCTCTGTCCCCTGCTACCCCTCTTGGCCGACACACACTTTGGCAGAAAGATTTAATCAATCAGATTGTTCTCTTAGACACTATTTTTCTGAGTGAACTCGCAAGATGTGTTAATGAACTATTTTATTTGCAGAGTCGTAAATCAGGAAACCGCCTAAACAAAACTTAGAGTTTCTTTCCCTCTCTCCTGCCAGAGTCGGGCCACAAGAAGTTGAAGAGTACCATACAGAGAAGCACAGAGACGGGCATGGCAGCCGAAATGAGGAAGATGGTAAGGCAGCCAAGCCGAGAGTCGACCGACGGCAGCATCAACAGTTACAGCTCCGAGGGAAAGTAAGTGACGGTGGGGCATCTGTGTGGCTTTAGCATCGCGGGTGTGTGGTCAAAGGTAAAATAACCTGGCCACCCCTTGTTCCTGTGCAGCTTCTTCATTTAACCAGCTGGTCAGTCATCCATCTGAAAATAGCCCGACGTCTTGTGATATGCACACACAGGTGTACTTCTGCACCTACCTGGTCATTCAGAGCTTTCAAAGCAATGATGAAATGTTGGGTCCACATAAATAAACTGATTTCTATCATCCAGAATAGCCCATTAGTGGGTGTCTGTTGTAGAAATATCACATTTAATGGATTCTTTCATATGGGAAACTCATTGTCTAGCCTGGTTACCAAAATCTGAATTATAATTTGGAAGTGAGGAACTAATTTTCCATATTTCCACTTTTCTCCAAGTTTTGGCTCTAAGTTGTTAAGTCTAACAGGAACCTAAATTTTCTTGTTTTTAAAACATCACTAACTCATTTTCACCTTAGGATAAAAGATCAGGATCTATCTTCCTCATTTTTTTATTAATTGTCTTAGTGAATTCTGAAGTTAATTATTTTTGGAAAAAAAAAAAGATTTTTGTTTTGCTTATCTGACTTGTTTTTTTACTATTTCTTATAGATTGCTACACAAAACCTGCATTTCTTATGCTTAAGAACTTTTCTGGTAAAACTGAATTTTTACTGAGGTGATAGATCTTACAAATTAGTAATTCTTATTCTGCAGTGGACTACTTAGGGATTGACCATGTACAATTTTTTTATAATTATTCATTTGTTACCATTTAAATGTCTCATTACCAATCTAATATTCTTATTTAATTTTATTTTACTGGAATTTTTCTATTTTGTTCAGAAAATGGAATAAAATTATGCCATGTTACTATTTAGGGTATGCTTTCACATTTTAAAACTAAGAAGTTCATTTATTTCATCAAATGAGTGGATGCATGCCCCCAGGAAGACATAGCTAAGAACAGAAGTCAGCGGGACAGTCACGGAGACAAACTTGCTGACTTGAGCAGTATTTGATGAAGTTATAAAGCAGTTGCAAATGCAAGACCAGAGACATTATTTTTTAATATAAAAATTAACAAATCAAATAATGTTTGCCTCCACCATGGATAAGCCCCTTACCATAATTCCACTGACTGTGAGGAAATTCTGTGTGGAAGCACATTGGAAACAATAAATCCCTATGGACATCTGTTTATTCAAAAAGTACTCATTGAAGTCCAACTACCGAACAAGCCTGGTTCTCGTTCCCCGGGATACATCAATAAACAAGAGCATAATTACTGCCCTGGTGGAGCTTACAGCCTGGGGGATTCAGGCAGTCATGCTGTAGTAAGAAACAGACGTGTTTTAATCAATTCATTTCCATTTGAACTAAATAAAAATTTTAGATAATGTAAAAATGTAATTCATTCAAAAATAAATAAATTAAACACTTTAATTTGTAAATAAAAAATGTGGCCCAGCCGGCGTGGCTCAGTGGATTGAGTGTCGTCCCGTGGACTGAGAGGCCCCTGTTCGATTCCTGGTCAGGGCACATGTCTGGGTTACCCGCTTGGTCTCCAGAGGCGGGGCATGCAGGAGGCAGCTTGATTGACGTATTTCTCTCACGTTGATGTTTCTATCTCTCCCTTCCTCTCTCTCTCAAAAGAAAATCAATAAAACGTATTTTTTTTAAATGTGTACTGTGCTCTAATATTTAAGAAATTATTAGGCGGTTTTTTAAGTTTAGTATTAATGTTACTCAATGTTTATGAGCAATTATTTATGTAAAGTTCATGATATAAAAATTTGCATCTTATATTTATGTCAGTGATATATTTATGTAGGGAATTTTGTTTGTAAATGTTCAAAAAATGTAACATACTAAAAACTCTAACAGAGCTCTCCCGAGTAGAACGTCAGCTCCTAACGTGAGAGTTTAGATCTCTTCTCAGTGCGGAACCTCACTCGTGTGCTTGTTGGTGCAGCGTGACCAGTAAGGGAGCCGCTCGTCTAACAGTGCTTGTGATTCATGATCAGAATGAGTGTCAGATGGAAACTAACGGAAATAATTCTAGGAGCGCTAATGTTTTGATTTTTGTCCTTTTGCGAATAGCTTAATATTTCCTGGAGTGCGACTAGGAGCAGACAGTCAATTTAGTGATTTTCTTGATGGACTAGGACCAGCCCAGCTCGTTGGCCGCCAAACCCTCGCCACCCCTGCAATGGGTAAGAGTCATATTTTCTACAGGAAAACTGATATTCACTGTTGACAAGGTCATTTAAAGGAGCATAATAGTGATGCAAGTGAAAAGTACCAATACAACTTGGGTGTTGCTGGTTTCAAATGAATATTCTAAGTTCTGATGTGTTTTTCTCACTTGAGACATTGCTCAAAATGGATGAAGTTAGTCCTACATCTTTGAATTATCAGAAAACCCCATCAAGATAGAGAGACTACACTAGATCCAAGTGTAGGATAAAGGGTGGCATTTTACCACATGGGAAAAAAACAAACAAACAGGGATTATTCAGTAAAGGATGTTGGTTGGCATTAATGTTTAATTATATTAAAAAAATGAAATTGCCTTCCTACTTCAAAACTTTAAAAAAATTTTTTTGACTCAATTGTAAAGAGAAACAAGGAGTGGAGAAAGGTACTAGAAAATACTGAACAATACTTAAGGTAATGCTTCTATACTCGGTGTGGGAAGAATTTCCAAAGGATCAAACCAAAGCCAGATAAATTAAAAATGTCTACTAGCAAAATACACCCTAAATAACATTAAAAGAAAGATAATGGATGGAGAAAATTATAGGTAGCATGTGCAACCACAGTTCCTGAAGGACCTGGGATTCCAGTGTGAAAGGACCCATGTGACTCAGCAAAATGCATGAAAATAGGTCAGCACAGAGAGACTCATCATCGTGGAATTGCTCAGCACCAGAAATTAATAGAAAACCCTCCAAGTTTCCTAAGAGAATAATTCTATACAAAACTATCAAAATCAGATTCCTATTGGACTCTTAAATAGTAACACTGGAAGTTAGAAGAGTACTAAGCATTACCTTCAAAATTATTAATAACAATTGATTTCCAGCATAGAGTACAATAGCCAGCCAAATTTTTGAGTAAGTTTAAGACTGGAATAAATAAATACTCCGACAGGAGAGGTCTCAAACCATTTCCCTCATACCCAACATTGCTCAGAAAGCTATTGGAGAGTATTCAAAATGAGTGAACTTTAAACATTGTGAACTGAAATGAGAAGATGAGATCAGTAAATAAATGCTTCCATCCAGGGAGAATTGGCTGGTAGTGGAGGAAAACCTAAAGATAACAGCTGTATCAAGCTTTCAAAGAAATGTGTTCTAATTGTAGCATGTCAGCTATCATAAGATTAAAACCTTAGAATACATAATGTTTTTGATTTTATGGAAGAAGTAAACAACCAGGAGAGTGTAAGGGGTTGAATTAGTGATTTGTACATAAAAATGTAAGCAAATGCTGTCTAAAAAGAAACTTATTAAGTGTAGGGAAAAGCTGTCCAAGAAATGAGAAGTAGTAATCATAATATTCCAGTTCACCCGGCTATAAATAATGTTGCATAATCATAATAATATAAATATTTAAACCGAAAAGATGGGATGACAGGAAGTATCCATTATGTGCTGGGGATCGGAAAGATGTGAGAAAGATCAAAATTAGAAGTCAATAATAATATCTAAAACTGAAAAAATAGGATAATATCTTATAAGTAGAGTATTTAGAGATATGGAGACAAATGCCAAAAAGTAAAAAATAGATCAGATAAAAATATTGAAACTTATGAAAGCAGTGACCCTTGGAAGGCAAGAAGTTGACAGAGAGAATGGGAATTGTTTATACTAATAAAAAACGTCTTATAGAACAGTTTGACTCATTAAACTATGTGTGTGTGTGATTAAAACAAATACAAAAAGAAGACCAGGAGACTTCCGAGAGCTGAGATCTAAAACAGAATTATAAAACTAATGAACAATCCAGAACCACAAAGTTGATCAACTGACTTGGCAAATAAAGAGACTTCACCACAGAAAAATAGAGATGACTCAACTAACTAAAAATAACTTAGAGGTAATTACATTTAACATTTTCAGAGATAAAGTATCATGTCCATCAGAAAAGGAACATATTAAAAATGGGTAAAGGACATGTCAGGCAACACATAAAAGAAGGAGGACAAATTTAAAAAAATGGTTAGAAATGTGTTCAGCCTTCCTAATAATCAAGGAAATGCAAATTACAACTTTTTAACCATCAGGTTGGCAAAAATTAGACATATTGTTAATACTGCTATCCATGTAGCAGTAAGAGACATTACAATCCGTGTAGATTGTAATACTTCTGGTGACAGTGTAAACTGGCACAGCCTTTCTGAAGGATAATTTGGTAATACGCATGGAATTTTTGAATGCCCATATTAGACCCAATAATTAAACTCTGGGAATTTATGATTAAGAAATAATTGATGGTCCTGACCAGTGTGGCTCAGTTGGGTGGAGTGTCATCCCCATATATCGAAGGGTCTTCAGGTCCCCTTCCTGGTCAGGACACAAACCCAGGTTGCAGGTTTGATCCCTGGTCAGGGTGTGTACGGGAGGCAAGTGATCGATGTTTCTCTCTCACATCGATGTTTCTCTCCCTCCCTCCCCCTTCCTCTCTCTCTAAAATCAATAAAAACATTTAAAGAAATAAATAATTGATAAAGTGCAGAATTCTTTATAAAGCTATTCATTACAGTGCTGTTTATAATAGCAACAATGTCGATAACCTGTATTTGCTTAAAGAGGTAATGGCATGCCTATTTGGTGGCCCATACAGTCAACAAACTGAGGATGGACGGTCATAGTAGCTATCTAGATAGGTAAGAAGGAAGGAAGGAAGGATGGAAGGAGAAGAGGGAAGTACTGAAGAGATTGCTGGGATAGTCACCAAAACACTAACCGTGGTTTCTCTAGAGCAGAAATATAAAGTATGCTTTTTTTTGAGAAGTATTATATACTAGATCACATGAAGGATGAGAAATCTTATCAGAGTACAAAAATCACTTCAATACTTCAGTATTCATTAGGCCATTTATAACCTAATATGGGACTCTCATGAGATGGATTAGTACCAGGAAAATGAAGAGAAATGTTTCGGAGTATGATTTAGAGGTGGGGAGAGAAGAGCGGGGTTGGGGTTTTTATCAAGATCATTAAGATCATGTGGAGCCTGTTACGGGGCCTCTAGTTTCCTTTTAACTGCACGTAACTGCACGTAACTGCACGTGACTGCAGAGAAGCTGACACGTGTTGCTTCCCCTGCGCCTGCAGGTGATATACAGATCGGAATGGAGGACAAGAAGGGCCAACTAGAAGTTGAAGTTATCAGAGCACGAAGCCTCACGCAAAAACCTGGCTCCAAATCGACACCTGGTAAGGAAAGCGGTTTGGACAAGAGAAGCTTACACAGGCAAAAAACTCAAAACATGTGCAGCACTGGGATTTTATATGCTCTGCTTTTCAGCCTCTGGCTGATTAAAAAGCCAGCTCTTCTGTGTTCTTGGAGCCTATAAAAGTGAATCATGGCTCAATCATTCGGTCAGAAAATACTGTCGTGTGAACAAAAATTTAGTGATGATTGTTACTTAGCTTGTGTCAGGTTTTTGTACCTTTACAAATGCAAAAGGAAAAAAAAAACTTCTAGTTCCGGCAAAGAAACAATGAGCTTTAAGATGTAAACCTGAACTGTAATGCCAGCTTTACCCCGAGTAGGTCGAAGTCTTAAGATAACTTTGCATGCATTTGTGTAAGACGAGGAAAACGGCCACAGTGGTGACACAGGGCAGGGAAGGAGCAGAACCCGCGGAGCACTGGGCCCTGGGAACGATTCAGTCAGTGGGAAACTTTCAATAGGCATCTCTAATTCGCTAACAAGACTTCTCTAATAAAATCAATTGAGCTTAAAGGATTAACTTGTTGTACATTTGTATTGCCTTTGTTTAGCTCCATACGTCAAAGTATATCTTCTGGAAAACGGGGCCTGTATAGCCAAGAAGAAGACGAGAATTGCACGAAAAACCCTTGATCCTCTGTATCAACAGTCCCTGGTGTTTGACGAAAGCCCGCAGGGTAAAGTTCTTCAGGTCAGTAATAGTCTGTGTGACATGGTGCATTGAAAATCCACACTATCCATGTACACACTGAAGAGGTGATCAAACAGGCAGAGAACCAAGTTCAGTAGGGAGAAATGTGGTATAACATCCTCGATTAGAAAAAACAACAAGCTGTCGATTTACTATACAAATAATGGATAGTCTTAAAAATATACACAGGTGTTGAATTTATATATAATTGAACAGATTCGATGGAGAACACAATTTTTATTTTTTCTCTCCCCTCTCTTCTTTCTTCTCTCTATCCTCTCCTCTACTTTTGCTCTATTTGCACCCCTTGATAACTAAGTGATGATAGATGATAGATAGATAGATAGATAGATAGATAGATAGATAGATAGAGGATAGACATCAAGATAAGTGATGCTAATCATAGTATATTGAGCATTCCTACGTGCAGACAAAGAGGAAGAAAGGAAAGGAAAACAGAAGTGTACAGGGACCAGCAAATACTCGGGGCTGGATGAATGTCAGGTGCATTGTTAGGTGCTCACATACATTACCTCTTTTAAACGTTCTCACCACCACATGCAATAAATACCATTATCTCCATTTTAAAGATGATTCCTGAGGGCCATCAAATATGGAGATTAAATAATTAGGTACACAGCATGTCGGAAAGTCCAGACCCCCCACCTCTGCCTGCGTAAAGCAGGTGAATGAGTTCGGTGAGAACCTTACCAGAGAACGGAGGACGGGGAGCCTGGAGTGATCGGAATGGGATGCTTACCCAGCACAGCAGGTGCTGACCCAGACTCTGGGTGAGCCCAGACTCATCAGTCATCCGATCAAAGCAAAATTGCCAGGCAAGTTCTCAGAAGACATCAGTTTCCAATTATTTTCAACCTGCCCCTTCACTAACAAGTCCATAATATAAAAGAAATGTAATTACTATTCTCCTTCTTGATGCACATTCTATCATACATGCATTCCAATGTACACTGAATTGGATTGTTTTTCCCTCCTAGCAAACACAGATTTTAATTTTGATATCTCTGTCGTCCTGCACATTGCTTCCTAGATAATGGTTACTAAAGAAGGTGTTGAATTTATATATAAATAAACTTGTATATTTATTTCTTTAACATGGTCTATGAATGGAATACCCCCCATTGACTAAGGAAACATTACTTGCATTCCATCGAATCTAAAAGTCATTTGTGAAGTGTCTCTTTGAACTCCTTAACGTTAGTGTCTTCTTATCTAGTCCTTCTCCATGGTGCGTGTGATACTCATTTCTTCTCCTCCACTGACTGGCCCACCTTTACAGCTCCTCTAACGTGGCACAGAGCGGAGTTCAAGTTCTGTTGCATTTCTCTGTCTCTGCAGGTGATTGTCTGGGGAGACTACGGCAGAATGGACCATAAATGCTTTATGGGTGTGGCCCAAATCTTGTTGGAAGAACTTGATCTGTCCAGTATGGTAATTGGATGGTACAAATTGTTCCCACCGTCGTCATTGGTGGATCCCACACTCACTCCCCTAACCCGCCGGGCTTCCCAATCATCTCTGGAAAGTTCAACTGGGCCTCCCTGCATTCGATCATAGTGAACTCATACCAGAGTCATTCCAATAAAACTCGACCTTTCAGGATAATAATCTGAACCAGACAGTTCATGATCAAAAGCATTGTTGGAAACAGACAATCAACTTGTGTTTTACCTGTAGTAGTTTCTCAATAATGTGTCCCAACTATTGTTCCAAACCTGGCTTCATATGACAGAACAAGGTAGTCGATCCCAGCGCAGCGAGAGCCAGCGTGCTAGTGAGAGCCCCTGAGGCTCCTAACAAACAGAAAGAGGGACCTTCAAACACGCACACGCACATGCACACGCACGCACCCCAAACTGAACAAACTGGAAACTCTCACTCTGAAAAGTCGTATTTTACACGTTTCTACACAGACCACAAGCAGTGTTATTTCCCTGGTGTTTGAGGAGTTTTGTTCTTTTGCGTTTTGTTTGTGTGTGTGATTCATTGTTTTTGGATTTGTTGTTTTGTTCTTGCTGTGTGTGTTATTTACACTCGTTTCCAGCCGTGTCGTGACAGCCTCGTGCTGCTTGCAGAGACCCTTCCTTTCTTTTTCCAAAAGCACCAAAAAAAGGGCTGAAGCCGTCTCTGTAGCATCTCCCCAAAGTGTTCAGCAGCTGGACAAGGTGAGGCCCAGGAAGGGCCCACTTTCATTGTGTGATCCTGCAAAGTCTTACATGTGGAAACCCAGAAAACAAGAAGTTATCCTCAAAAACAAATAATCCCAGAATCCCTATCTTTAATAGAGAGCATAACTGTTCACATTCTAAAAAGTTAATTTATGTTTTCCATTGTTTTGCATGGAAGACTTTAAAGAAGTCAGTCTGCAACTAATTCTGGGAACTACAACTAACTGCGTAATCGTACTTTGGAAACACTCCTTATAATGCCTTTTTCTTCCTGATAGTCACAAAGCAAACCTATATGCTCATACGTATAAACCACACTTTTGACTTCCCAAATGGTGACTAGAAGTGGATTTGAGCCTAAGACACTGGCAGCTATGCCCAGGCTCCTCGGCCATGTCTCAGTGTGGACATACCCACCTGCCCAGAAAGAGCATGGTGTGAGCTGTTCAGTATTCACGGGAAATTCCAGTGGAACTATTCTGCACTAAACTAATGTTTTTATCAAATTTTAGTTTACATTTCTTTGAGATCGATGCAAGCACAAAGCTTGATTTTTTAATGCAAAGTCTCTTACATTTTGGGGGGGGAAGGGGAATAAAACAAAGTCAAAACTTTCAATTTGCATTTTGTTCACCTGCGTTTTCTTGGCCTGGACTTTCCCTCGTGACATCTTGTGTATGTGTTCCATACTGCAGACCCTGCAGGTGCATTGACACGTTCTCCTCCTTTTATGAGTCATTCAACTTTTGTGATTACACATAGAGCAGCATGACTTGGAACCGTTCAAAGCTGCATGCATGTTTTGTAAAAAAAAACTAAAAGAAAAAAAAAAGAAAAAGAAAAGAAACAAATGGTTATTTAATAATGTATGTTAGCTCCACATAGGCCGCTTGTGTGTTGCATGTACTGAACAGTTTGCTCGTCAATGACTATACTGAAATAACCAAGAAATCTAAGCCATCCATTTTTGTTATAGACATTTTGCAGGCTTTCGCCAGACTCAGTCTGGGAGCCTGGGGTGAAATGTCTATAGATGGACTTTATTTTTTACCCTCTGGACAACGTGATGTAGAATGGACCAAACTCCTCCTAATACATACTTCGGTGTAGATTCCTCCTGTGGGGCTGTAACACATGTAGACACTGTGTACACACTAGGTTTTAATCCATAGACATACTGCCTGCACCAAGTGAATTCTTTACCATTATTTACACATGCCAGATTACCTGCCCATCGTCCACAGGGCACAGATTGACCACGACTCCCCACGCTGAGCAGGAGGAACTGAAGCATTGGTGCACTGCTACTAGATTCCGTTCTGTCTTAGTGGCCAACGATCAATTATAATTGGGTAGTACCTTTCTATTTGGACCACTTGTCTTAACACTCCCCTGTGCTTTTAAATGAACTTCCAACTCATGTATGTAAACATGTTTAATAAAATTTACTTTTCATGTCAGTCAGTAGCCATCTGTGTTCTATGTTTTGCCCAGATATCCACTGTGGGTTCTATGGTGCAAAATGGGAGCCAGACCACGGGAAGGGGAGGTTGGGATTTGTTGTCTGCTGCGGGCATTTGACTTGACTTGTCACTGCACTATCTATGTCTTAATCTATGGCCCAAAGGGGACTTTGCATCACGTACAAGTTTTCAGTTTGTCAGCCTGTCTAAGTGAGCACATGACTATACTTCTGAAAAGTGGCATTATTAAAAAACAATAAATCTCATAAGAATCAAATGGAAGGTGGTTTTTCTGCTGCTGTTTGAGTGTGCCAATAAAAGAGACAACTCTGTCGTCCAGTTGCCAAATCATTTCAAGTCATGTGACATATCAAAATATCAATTCCTGCGTCTCTCATCGAAGCATCTGGGTCTGTCCATCTTTCTCTTCTGAACACCCGGCAGATTTGCAAAACGTCACCTCAGAGTAGGCTTACTTAACACACCAAGCAATACATGAAACATCTTCAATAGAACTGTAGGGAATATAGTTTTGAATATAGTAGAGTCTCTAAAAGTTAAAAGAGAAATTATTAGCTTTCTTAATTTAAGACCATGATATATTCTTCTTCAATAGTGTGTTCATAGATTTCATAATCTTCATATTCACCAATGGTGGGTAAACACTAAGTTCGTGCTGCTGGGTAGTAAAATGACTGTTGAGATCTACTTTTCACCTTCTAGGAGCCCTTAAATATTTATAGAACACACTGGCTTTGCCCTGGCCGGTTTGGTTCAGCGGTTGGAGCGTCGGCCTGCGGTACAGAGAGACCGGGGTTCGGTTCCCGCTAAGGGCACGTACCTCGGTTGCAGTTTGTCCCCGGCCCTGGTTGGTCGTGTGGGTGGCAGCCACTCGATGTGTCCCTTCACATCGATGTTTCTCTCTCTCTCTCTTCCTCTCTCTCCCTCCCGCTCTATCTGAACAAAAAATGGAAAAAATGTCCTCGGGTGAGGATAAAAAAAAAAAAGAACACACTGTCTTTAACTGTGTGAAGCAAAATAAACACAGCGAACTCAATAGCAAATGTGAGACAATAAAACCATTTGAAACATGTCATTACATCAGTTGTTCAAAGTTTTTTAAACAGTCGACTGATTGGATCACCCAGTTGTTTGGTCTGTAGGATGTGGAATCCTCTGTTAGGCTGGGTCAGCAGGAGACTAAAGCAACGGGTGAGTTCCCTTTCCAGTGACCTGTCAGAGCAGATCTGGGTAATGCTTGTGCCCTCAGACAGCTCCTGACGGGGCGAGGCTGCCAATGCAATAGTAGGCAACTCAAGGCAGCTTTGGAATTTCTTTTGTCTAGACAGAAAAGCAGAAATCTCTTGTCAAGTTGGATAAGTCTGCACGGCATTATGATTTCAGGGCCTACAATGACGAGAAGTAACTGGAGGAAAAGCGATTTTGCTAAGTCCTCATGGTTTCTTGTTGACCCTCTAAACCTACTTTCTGGAAGTCCAGCCTGAGATATATGATCTGATTATACTTAACTAACATCGTTAAGGCCTTTTGGGGGTACTAGATATTAAGTACTTGAGATATAAAAATTAGAAAAAAAAAGTACCCTATCTTAAAGGAGTGCTCTATCAAGAGAGATCATTGCATTTAAAAAATTGCAATAACATATCCTTGATTAGTTATGCAAAGGGCTAAGGAATTACTCTTAATTCTCATAATAGTCCTATGCGTTAAGTACTCTTAAGATCCCCATGGGATTTGCAGCTTGGAGAAGCTAAGCAAGAGGCCAAAGGTTACAATGCAGTTGGGGTTGGAGATGGGATATGAACCAAGGTCTGGATGACCCCAGAGCCTGCCCTGGGAGACACTCTGCATCTTCCAGTGAGTGCTGACAGCTGAGCTCAATCTTCAGGGACAAAGAGCCCACCAGATGGGAAAGGCCTCTTCGACCATTCTCCACCTTCAGGCGGGCCTGCCCTGCGTGGTCTCTCACGCAACTGTGCTGTCACCGGGGAGGTGCAGGGACAGGGAAAGGAGGCAGGTGAATGCCTCCATCTGCTAAAGCTTCTGAGGGTTTTCTCTGTGAACTCTCACCTCTGGGTCTTCTGACTGCAGTCATGCTTGGCCCCCTCAGGGAGAGTACGGGTAAAGGAGAGAGAACAAAGCTGTCTTTAGCCAAGCCCAGACTTACCCTTTATTTCCAAGGTAACGTCGTCATTTGAGTACCCTACCCTACTCCTTGTCACCAGTCCCAGTGCCGCATTTCTGCTCAGTCACAGAAGTCTGCACCTTGACTCCCAGGCCCCTGGGGGCTCTCAGTCCTCCCGGAGTCCAAACAGCTCTCAGTTGTTTGCTTCCGAAATGGATTCTATGACTCCTCCTATTCCCTGTCACATCGCCCGCTCCACAGAGTACTTCCATCCTGAGTACAGGGAACCTATCGTTCAGTAGATCTCCTGCACTTAGAACAGTGTGTGACACACAGTAGGTGCTGAGCACATATTTGTCAGATGAATGAATGAACAGGTGAATAAATGAAAAACTGAATGAATGAACACAAACCTCAAGGTCCTTACTGCCGATCCTCTCAACTGTTTCTCGTCCAGTTTCCAACATCAGCTCATTATTTACATTTAAAGTTTGCCCACATTTTTTTCTAGCCATGATCCTCATTATGTTTCGTAAGAATTTTGTGTCCCTGGCTTTATTGCCTTATCCCTCCTTGTAAACATTTGTCACAATTCTTCTGGGTTCGCATTGCTAATATACCCTTGGAGCTTGCTCCTACCCCTCAAGTGGGATCTAGCCAATGCGTGTGCGTGAATGCCGTGTTGCTCTACCACAGCGACTTCATAAAGGAACTACATCGAAGAAGGAGGCACAGTGTGTGTACGCATGTATACACACACATATATATACCAAAACTAAACAGCACTCAGAATGGCCGTAAATGAAGTCCCCGCCTTTGGTATGTGTACACATTCTATAATGATAAGTCAATGGGCAAGACAAAGACTGGAGAGGGGAAATGTGGAAAATTCCCATGCCCCAGTTGGGAAAATGGGAACGTCCGTATGAGTAGACAGGGCCATTGCCCTTCTTACACACCCACAGAGCGGCAGCTCCACGACGCAGGGCGTCTGTCGTACCTTTCGGACTAGTATGAGCTCTGTCATCTCTTCATTTCTCTAGAGTTTCCAGGCTCTACCCACACACCCAGGCAAGTCACCAGAAAGTACCCACCCAGCCACACTGACTTGTCCCTGCCGTAAATTCAAGTTTTTTCCTAATGTTTTACCTTTGGTTTTTATTGAGCGTTCATTAAAAATTCTGCTTACATTGGCTATATATTTTTGTCAGATATTTTCCAATATATCACTCAGGATCCTTTTTTCCCAAATAGATGCACATCAAGTTTTTGTTTGTGTTCAACCATCTTTTATCCAGTGTCCGGAAAGGTTTGTTCTTCTGTAGACTTGTGTTTCCTTCCACTGTAGGGCTCTTGGCCTTTTTCCTACTTTGGAGCCGTATAATGCTTGCAAAGCCTCTGGACTCCTCAGGATAACATTTAACTCATTTAAATAGTTCATAGGGTTAGCCCCGGCCGGTTTGGCTCAGCAGTGAGAGTGTCGGCCCGTGGACCAGAGAGTCCCAGGTTCGGTTCCCACTAGGGTCACATATCTCAGTTGTAGGTTGTCCCCAGCCCCGGTTGGGGTTGTGTGAGTGGCAACCAGTCGATGTGTCTCTCTCACACTGATGTTTCTCTCTCTCTCCTCCTCCCTCTCCCCTCCTGCTCTATCTGAAGATAAATGCAAAAATGTCCTTGGGTGAGGATTAAAAAAAATAAGTTCATAGGGTTAAAAAAACAACAGCATAATTATATTAAAATAATTTTTAAAAATTTTTAAACAAATTCGTGATGTACTATTATATATGACTTCTTTACTGAAGTGCTAAATAAAATAGTGAAAGATCCAATAAGTACTGCATTTTTAAGTAGAGATGAGCAACAAGGATCATTCGTGATATCGGCAGCCACTCCAATGTGATATAAAAACATCTGTAATTTTATCAACAACGTCACGGGTACTATTATGCTATTGTGTTTTGTTTCCTACAGTGATAGTGGACAGAAATGCCCAATTTTCAATTAGAGGTAAGAAAAAAAAGTAAAGGGGCATTTCCTGTTCTCCTCGTGGGCCTCCCGATGTCTTCCTGAGGCCTCGATAGGAACAGAATAACCCATTAGATGGCCTCCCGCTATTCAGAGAGCTGCTCAGCAGTTACACCCCCATACCAACCACGGCTAGTGTATTGTTTTCTCTCTTTTTATGCCTTTCCCAATAATGTTATAATCAAATAGATTGATGAAATTCTTTGTAAGTCTTTTTGAAATAGCACCAAGAAAACACAACAACACAAACTGGCACTGCCGCCCCTGACGCATAGAATGTGTGTACAAAGCAAGAGGAAAACCACTCACGAACGGCAGGAAGGCCGGGCACTCCATGTTCTCCTCGATCACTGTGTTTCCGTCTATTCTACCTTGATCTCCTTTTGACAAACATCAAAATGTCACCTCCTACTCCCAACATGGCCATAGTTATGACGCTCAGGGGGTCTATAGTGCTTCCTCCAGTTGAGAGACAAAGTTAAAACCTCTATTTTTTGTTTGCCTGAAGCCAGGATTTTTCTTGCATGCAAATCTCCAGCTTGTATTCAAAAATGATACTTTGCTTTGCTTTTATTTTTCCGTTATTTAAGTGTATTAACATACCAAAATATGATTCACAACAGTGTAATTTTAAATGATAAATGTATTTAAACCTCTAAGTCCACCACTACAATTCCTTGCAGTTGGCCTATTGGCGCCCTTTGCATGGGGATTTCTTCTTCTTCTGAAAGCAACGACAGCCTGAATTCAAAGACTCTTTCCATCTGTTCTTTCGTAAATGTTCAAGCAGCCAGATGACAGGAAGCAAAGAGTAC